TATAATGACATGTCTTAAAAAAATAAATCATTTACTTAGTTTCATTAAGTAGCCATATTTGAACATAAAAAATGCCATTAAAAGAATTGTTTTGTTGTATTAATAAATATAATCCCACTATTAAAGGAGTACCCCTTTCTGAAAAAAGGCAAAATTTGGAAATAAGTCATGCCTATCAAATGATCTGTAAATCTCATTCTACTCTATCTTTATGAATGTTTTCTTATTATTTGGATACTGTAAAGCTAGAAGAGAATTCTTATCTATTATTTTTATTTTTTTCCTTCTATTTGATTGAACCACATTCAATAGTTTACCCCTCCCCCTTTTTTCCATGAAATCTACCCAAGTGGGCCTCTTGTTTAGGTCAAATTGAAAAACTACCCAAAACTTTTTCATATTGAAGAATTTGTTGCAATTCAACTATCTAAAGACAAGAACGACCATACCTTTCTCTTTTTTGACTATACATGTCTTTATACATGCCTACTATATGATGGTTTTTAGACTGTACTTGACACCCCAATGCATATAAACTTTGCAATAAAATTCAAGAAAAAACAAAATGAATACTCAAGTTAGTGTTTTTGGTAAGAATATTGATTACTTGTCACACCTAATCACAAAAATCCTTGTCATGATGGATAGTTTTAGAAAAATTCTACTTTTTAAACAAATTTTTAACCCAAATATTGAATTTTCAATTAACCATACAGTGCCGCAGACAGGAATAGAAGTCATAGACTCTTGTAAAGTGAACATTTTGTGAAAATCTTTTCACCAAAAGTTCATTTTATACATATTCTACCTATATGTCAACTATTGAGCCATAAAAATAATAACCCTAAAGAAAAAAGTTACTTTTGTATGTAACTGTCCCTTCAACTTTACACTGATTTTCAATGAAACTGCGCAACTAGAATTTCCATCACAAGAAGAAGATTTTATAGAGGAAAAAATCTTTCTATGTTCTTTTTAATTAAAAATCATGTATGTAATACTACCAGAATCTCAATTTACCTCAAACTGATGTGCTTTATATCTATTTATACTTTTGAATGGTGTCTTGTATAAAAAATCATAATTATTACATAATTTAAGTTTTTTCATTGTAACTTGATACCCCATGATTTTTTTTTCTTAAAAAGTCCTTAAATCATGATGTTTTGTCATTCTGGGCACACAAAAGTCCACATGAGCTACTTCCTTGCAGTGAACATATGAAAAAATTACCCTATGCAGGTTGCAGTCTTGTAATTGACTGCTCCATAGGCTTACATGCAAAACAGCTCATCTTTGAAAATAAAAAAATAAAAAATGCTACATAGAAAAAAAATTTCATGTTCATATCATGTATGTATTAATGTGAAATTGTGATTTAATCGAAAAAAAAGTGGGTCATGCCACGAAGAATAAAAAGTTATGTAACCCTGTTGTCAAAACAATTTTTTTCTACTTTCTGTTTGCTGTTTTTACTAGGCCGCACCACTTCCAGTAAACATGATATCCTTCCACTTTCTTGGATTGATATCCCCAAAAAGATGCAAGATTTTTTTTAAATCTATATATATGTTTGAATTCAGCATAAACTTTTAATCAAACAGAAAAAATTGAGTCCAGAAAAAAATTCTGAAAAAAATGGACTATTTTATTTACCTCCATGTTTTGACATGCACCGGAAACTGGAGTTGTAATACAAGACTGGTACCTATAACTATAATGACATGTCTTAAAAAAATAAATCATTTACTTAGTTTCATTAAGTAGCCATATTTGAACATAAAAAATGCCATTAAAAGAATTGTTTTGTTGTATTAATAAATATAATCCCACTATTAAAGGAGTACCCCTTTCTGAAAAAAGGCAAAATTTGGAAATAAGTCATGCCTATCAAATGATCTGTAAATCTCATTCTACTCTATCTTTATGAATGTTTTCTTATTATTTGGATACTGTAAAGCTAGAAGAGAATTCTTATCTATTATTTTTATTTTTTTCCTTCTATTTGATTGAACCACATTCAATAGTTTACCCCTCCCCCTTTTTTCCATGAAATCTACCCAAGTGGGCCTCTTGTTTAGGTCAAATTGAAAAACTACCCAAAACTTTTTCATATTGAAGAATTTGTTGCAATTCAACTATCTAAAGACAAGAACGACCATACCTTTCTCTTTTTTGACTATACATGTCTTTATACATGCCTACTATATGATGGTTTTTAGACTGTACTTGACACCCCAATGCATATAAACTTTGCAATAAAATTCAAGAAAAAACAAAATGAATACTCAAGTTAGTGTTTTTGGTAAGAATATTGATTACTTGTCACACCTAATCACAAAAATCCTTGTCATGATGGATAGTTTTAGAAAAATTCTACTTTTTAAACAAATTTTTAACCCAAATATTGAATTTTCAATTAACCATACAGTGCCGCAGACAGGAATAGAAGTCATAGACTCTTGTAAAGTGAACATTTTGTGAAAATCTTTTCACCAAAAGTTCATTTTATACATATTCTACCTATATGTCAACTATTGAGCCATAAAAATAATAACCCTAAAGAAAAAAGTTACTTTTGTATGTAACTGTCCCTTCAACTTTACACTGATTTTCAATGAAACTGCGCAACTAGAATTTCCATCACAAGAAGAAGATTTTATAGAGGAAAAAATCTTTCTATGTTCTTTTTAATTAAAAATCATGTATGTAATACTACCAGAATCTCAATTTACCTGAAACTGATGTGCTTTATATCTATTTATACTTTTGAATGGTGTCTTGTATAAAAAATCATAATTATTACATAATTTAAGTTTTTTCATTGTAACTTGATACCCCATGATTTTTTTTTCTTAAAAAGTCCTTAAATCATGATGTTTTGTCATTCTGGGCACACAAAAGTCCACATGAGCTACTTCCTTGCAGTGAACATATGAAAAAATTACCCTATGCAGGTTGCAGTCTTGTAATTGACTGCTCCATAGGCTTACATGCAAAACAGCTCATCTTTGAAAATAAAAAAATAAAAAATGCTACATAGAAAAAAAATTTCATGTTCATATCATGTATGTATTAATGTGAAATTGTGATTTAATCGAAAAAAAAGTGGGTCATGCCACGAAGAATAAAAAGTTATGTAACCCTGTTGTCAAAACAATTTTTTTCTACTTTCTGTTTGCTGTTTTTACTAGGCCGCACCACTTCCAGTAAACATGATATCCTTCCACTTTCTTGGATTGATATCCCCAAAAAGATGCAAGATTTTTTTTAAATCTATATATATGTTTGAATTCAGCATAAACTTTTAATCAAACAGAAAAAATTGAGTCCAGAAAAAAATTCTGAAAAAAATGGACTATTTTATTTACCTCCATGTTTTGACATGCACCGGAAACTGGAGTTGTAATACAAGACTGGTACCTTGACGGAATGCTTCATAATATACAGCCAGTAAATATATTAAAGATGCCAAATGAATATATCATCCTGCGACTTGCTGTTTTAGAAGAAAATATCACATAATAACTTTTTTTTGCTATAAAAGTATTATAATAGCTAAGTAATGTAATCGTATATAATAGTATCATTGTAGTATATGATGCTATTATAATGGTATTATAGTAGCATAGTTGTATGTGTCACAATGTTTTCTGCTGAACTTAGTGTAATGTAACATCGTTCTCGACAAGAACTTAAGAAAATTGAAATTTTGTTACTAGATTTCCCACTGTTAATTTTAATTCAAAATTTTAAACTAAATTCTATTTTAAAGTTATATTTAACTATGACCAGAACTTGATCAACTAAACTATTCTATTGAGTTTTTGTAGATTTTTTTCGAATCGCAGCGGATACATTTTCTTTTATTAGTTGAGATGTGATGAGTGAGTGTATACGTTTATACGAGCTTGCTTATTTTAGGAGTATCCGGAGGCTTTTTTTCAAATTATATGTGGTTTTATTGACTTTTGGAAAACGGTCAAAGTGAATATACTTTTTTCAAAGTCAATTTAACCACATAGACTGAACAAAAGACAATAATTGTTTTAATCCATAGTTCGGGGGGAAAAAGTGTATTTAAGGTCAAGTAACAGTAAATGGGCTATGTCACAGATTTCAGTAAAATTTTGCACATAACTTTGACTCGATGAACTACAACTGAAAATCGAAAAAATAATGCATTTATCTCATTTATCATTTGAACTATTACTGATGGGATTCTTTTAAAATGGGTAAACATTTGTATAGAAAGCACATAAAATCGGCGAAAAAACTTCTAAAATTTGTCAAATCTCTAATTTCTACTAAATAGATTTTTCTTAAAAAACTATATGTTGTTGATATATAAGTTTCTGTTTTAATGATGCAAAATAAAGATAGGGTCACCGACTTCGTTTTTACGGTGTACATCTTTCACAGTTGTGATCTTTATGAAAAACTTCTACAAAACGTCGAAATAATCGTAACGTCATCGCGTTGCAGGCTGTAAAACGTTGATTTTTGACGTTTCTTCACTACCAACAAGGTAACCAATTGATTATTAGACAAAAAAAAACGAAGTCGGTGACAATATGATTATTTTATATCATTAGAACAGAAATTTATGTGTCAACAACATATAGTTTTTAAAAAAAAATCTATGGAGTAGAAATTAGAGATTTCATGTTTTTAAGCCAAATTTAAGAAGATTTTTCGCCGATTTTGTGTGCTATCTATACAAATATTCACCTAAATTAAAAGAAATCAATCTGTAATATTTCAGATTATAAAAGAGATTATTTTTTTCGATTTTCATTTGTAGTTGTATGCAAAATTTTAGCAGAATCTGTGACATAGGCCCATTTACTGTTCCTTGACCTTAATCACAATTATTTACCAAAACCAAGCAGTTATACACGTAAAAGCACGGTGAATATGACTTTTCTTCAGGTGAATTGCTGATTTATTCAAAACCCAATTCGTATGGAAAAACCTTTTAAAATAATACCAATATGGAATAATTTTATTTATTTATTTTACGAAAATTTTCGCACAATAAAACAACACATAAGGCCTTTGATTAACAACAATAAATACGTACAAAAATCACAATATTCTGTAAATCGATGTTTATCCACAACGATGGATTGCTTCATTAACTATCGTTCAGTTATATTCTCAAACATTGTTAATAGGGACAGCGAGACCAGTGTACTCTGTAAGATCACAAACAGATTTTACTATTGAATATAATTGTCCATTGACTTAATTGTAGAATTGTAGAGGTAAGTGATAAAATGAACATCAATAGTTAGTCATTTGAACCTTTTTTATCGTCTTTATAATAGTCATAGGCATACAATTTGACGCCACGGGAAGAAGATCCATCATTTCCATCATTTCCATCATTTCCGCCGGAACCACCACTACCACCAGATCCACCACTTCCACCACTTCCTGATCCACCACCACCTCCTCCACCAGATCCACCACCTGCTCCAGCACCAGCACCAGCTCCAGCACCAGCTCCAGCACCTGCTCCAGCACCAGCTCCTGCTCCTACTCCACTTGCAACTAACCAGCCTCTCAGATTAGCGTTCCTTGCAGCTGCTGCTGCAGCAGCAGCGGCGGCAGCAGCACTTGATGAACCACCACCACCTCCACCTCCACCTCTGGCACTAGCTCCAGCACTGGCAACTGCGCTTGCAGCCGCACGGGAACCACCTCTACCTCCACCAAGGAATCTAGAACCTAGACCAAATCCTCCACTTCCACTTCCTGCTCCTGCTGAAGCTGCAGCAGATGCAGCAGCTGCTGCCGATGATCTAGCAAACAACAAATTAAGAAGTCTTGCTCTTCTTGCTGCAGAGGCTGCTGCGGATGCAGCAGCAAAGGCGTGAGCTGAAGCCCCTCCTCCATATCCACCACCAACACCGAAACCAGCACCGGAACCAGCAGCAGCAGCAGCAGCAGCAGCAGCGGCAGCAGCAGAGGCTGCACCAGACCCACCGCCTAATCCTAATCCTGCTCCTCCTGCTCCTCCGCCTGCACTTGCTGCTGCACTGGCACTTGCAGATGCACTACTACCAGCTCCAGCAAATCCTCCGGACATCAAAAGTCTAGTGAGAAGCTGAATAATTATTTTGGCTGCTGATCGGAAACTGTCATCATCATCATCATCGCTACCATCGTCACTATCCTCATTTGAGGTGTCACCACTGTCACTACTTGAACTTTCGGAAGTACCAGAACTATCTGAATCACCGTCACCATCCGAGTCAGAACCGGAGTCAGAATTCGATGCATCGCTTCCAGTGTCGCTGTCGGAGCTGTCAGTATCATTATCAGAGTCAGAATCAGATCCTGAATCTGAATCAGAAGAGCCGCAATCGCCATCTCCACCACCATCACCAGATCCACCAGATCCTCCAGAACCACCAGCACCTCCAGCACCTCCAGCACCAGCACCACCAGCACCACCAGCACCACCAGCACCTCCAGCACCAACAGCTATTCCTCCGGCACCAGCTCCGGCTGAAGCAGCTGCTCTAGCGGCAGCACGTCTTGCTACCAACCATCTAATTAAACCTGAACGACCTCCTGCTGCAGCGGCAGCAGCTGCAGATGCAGCAGCTCCGGATCCACCCCCAGCTCCACCGACTGAACCACCTGCAGCTGCAGCTGCTGCTGCGGCAGCAGCTGCACTTGCACCTCCTGCTCCACCTCCTGCTCCACCTCCACCAGATGCAGAGGCAGACGCTGCTGCTGCGGCACTTGCTGCCGCTTGTCGTCGAGCTATAATTTTAGAAATAAGCCTCTGTCTTAAAGTTCCACCTGATGAACCACTTGCAGCAGCACTAGCACTGGCTGCAGCTGCTGCTCGTCTACCTGCAGCTGCGGCAGCTGCAGCTGCAGCTGCTGCACTTGAACCACCGACACCACCAACTCCTCCTGCAGCTGCCGCCGCTGCTGCTGCAGCGGCTGCACTTGTACCACCAAATCCTCCAGCAGCGGCTGCTGCTGCTGCTGCGGCAGCTGCTGCACTTGAACCGCCAAGTCCTCCTGCAGCTGCTGCTGCTGCTGCTGCTGCAGCTGCTGCACTTGAACCGCCTAGCCCTCCTGCAGCTGCTGCTGCTGCTGCTGCTGCAGCTGCTGCACTTGAACCGCCTAGCCCTCCTGCAGCTGCTGCTGCTGCAGCTGCTGCAGCTGCAGCACTTCCTCCTCCAAGTCCTCCTGCAGCTGCCGCTGCTGCTGCTGCAGCTGCAGCACTTCCTCCTGCTCCACCACCACCAAGAAGAGCGAGAAGTGTGGCTTCATCGAGATCCGACAAATCAACTCCAAGTAATTCTTCAAGATCTCCTAAATCTATATCTACTGCTCCACCGAGGCCAAGACCAAATCCATCTCCACCACCTCCACCACTTAGTGATGCAATAACCTCATCAAGTTCAGCACCTCCTAGACCAAGTTCAGCCAAAGCAAGTTCATCAAAGTCGCCGTCACTACTATCACTACTGTCACTACTGTCACCACTGTCACCACTGTCACCACTGTCACCACCGTCACTTGAGTCATCTGAACTAGAACTAGATTCCCCTCCGTCTCCGCCTCCACCTCCACCACTTCCACCACCTCCACCACCACCTCCACCACCTCCTCCACCACCGCCAAGTCCGCCTCCGATACCGCCTCCTCCTCCTCCCAATAATGAACCAAGATCTCCAGCAGTGCTACCAAATCCTGCATCTCCACCTGAGAGAAGAGCTGCCAATCTCATATCTTCTGCATCAAGACCTCCAATTCCACCAGCATCAGCACTGGCAGCGGCAGCGGCGGCAGCAGCAGCAGCACCACTTATAGCTCCACCAAGGTATGAACCAAGGTCTAAGACTCCACCTCCAATTCCAACACCGCCTCCAACTCCAACACCGCCTCCAACTCCAACACCGCCTCCAATTCCAACACCGCCTCCGATTCCACCTCCAATTAATACCCCGCCCCCACCTGCAACTGCACCTGCAGATGCACTTGCGGCTGCTCCTGCCCCTGCATAGCCTCCAAGACCTGTTAAAAACAAAATTTACTTAGATATACATTTTGATTGCTAGATCATGGTATGACATAATAAACAAGGTAACTACTGCACATTTTATTTGAAATTGATTAATTTATCTATTTATCTATTGATCTTTATTTATGTCGCTTTCCTATTGTAATTTTTCCACAAGCAGGGCCAATTTGAAAGTTCTTGAATTTGTACTATTATCAACCGCCAAATGAATAAGTTAAAAGTAATATATAAATTGGCTAACGTTGCAATTTTGATAGATTTTGGCAAGTTTTGAGTATTTCTCTAAATATAGATAGGAAATGCAATCAAAAACCAAAAGATAAAATTGTATTAAATGTCATGCTATGCACTCCTTTCCGCTACACATTAATTATTGTTGTTTGTTGTGTCCTCGATGCAAAATTTTAATAAAATTATCTTCAACAGTAATTTGTTTGGCTTTGTAAAATTCAAGTTGATATTATGTATACTTTTGTTAGATATTCTTTTACAGTAGTCTTCATTGTTGAAATTCCATCGATATTGTCATATCTTTGCTAGTGTTGGTTACTGGTAAATGTTACATCACAAAGATATGTATGTGTGATATGTATTTATGTATATACATTTTTTTTTCGTTTCTTTGACAGTATGTTTATGTCTTCACATTGGTCTGAGTATTCTTTCTATTTATATTTACCACTTGTTACTCTGATTGTACAGTCGCAATCTTGGTCACTAAAACCAGTTCCAATAGCACACCACATATCCTTCCACCCGACACCATTCACAAATTGTTCATATTTTCGTATATCGCCTTTCACTTTACGCAGTCCACAACCTAGAAAAATAAATAGCCAATATGTGGAAATTGAACACAGCGTGTTTGTCTATTATTCGCAGTTATTTCGTTCGTCCGATAAATCCATGCATTTTGTTAACATATAACGTGAAATTTACAACGAACAATTTATCTTATAAAATGTGTTTTGGGAATAAATGAAAGATGATGGCACGGCAATGCTCGCGTTTAATAAGGTCATAAAGTAATAGTTAGGGCATTGAAAGAGGGAACTAATAGGTTAGGAAGAAAATGATTGACCCACATACCAGAGCGAGACAAATTATTATATAGCAATATTCATCATTAAACCCTTGTTGACCATAGCTAAATTTTAATTGAATCAAGAGGATTTTGTTTTATAAATTGCGACGGCACACACTACTTTAAAGACCATAAAATATTTTCAAAATGGCAATGTTCAGAATCAATGCAAAGATGATACGTACTACGTGGATGAACTGTAGTGAACTTAATGCAGGCCGAACAATTAGGTGGAAGGATCCGAATCCATAAAGAACAAATAAAACATCGACAGTACTGGAAAGTTCTATGAAGTGGACATAACATGTACCGCTAGTCAGCGTACCTAACAGTAGGAATTACTTAAGGTATAACAATACAATACAATAAAAATACGATGGATATAAATATTAATCTGAATAGAAATTGCTGTTGTGCAGTTTTAAATTGCTTTTTACCATTTAAAAAAAAAAACAACAACAAGAGTTGCATTCACAATAATAAGTATTCTTAGGGACTAAGTATACTCATCAACCAGTACATATTATTCAGATCCACCAAATAAACAATTTTAAAGGTATGATTTAGGAAAATATTGATACGCTGATAACATTGAGTCTATTTGTTGAATGTCTTAACAACATCTTTATGTAAAAATGTAATATAAGCTGATATAAAGTAATTAAACTACATTTACCTTGTGAAGAAAGGGAGACCAAAGAGCTCAGAAATAGTAATTGAAGAAGCATCTTGTAAAACCTCTTCACCGAAACGTCTGAAAAAAATGCATTTATTCATATTAATAACCGAAGTTAAAGCAAAACGTTTTACAGTAATATTTAAAGAATAGAGAGAAACAGTACAGGAACTATTTTAACTTGCTAAAACAATCTGATGTTCAGTAGTTGTCGTTTGTTGATGTGGTTCATAAGTGTTTCTCGTTTCTCGTTTTTTATATAGATTAGACCGTTGGTTTTCCCGTTTCAATGGTTTTACACTAGTAATTTTTGGGGCCCTTTATAGCTTGCTGTTCGATGTGAGCCAAGGCTCCGTGTTGAAGACCGTACTTTGACCTATAATGGTTTACTTTTATAAATTTTGACTTGGATGGAGGGTTGTCTCATTGGCACTCATACCACTTCTTCATATATCTATTAATGTTATTGTACAACAACAAATTCTAACCAAAACTAATACTCTCTATTGAATGCTGTGTAATTTCACTCGATAATGAAAAGGCAAGTGAGGTAAGATGAATATAATGTTTTGTCATTTTCTAAAGGCGTGTACCGGTGCAGACATTTAATATCTCTCGTAGAACTTTAACTGTCCTTGAAAGCTGGAGCAATAATAATCCACTCGGGACAATATTAAACAATGTTTGAGTAATATCCCCGCGAATTGCTACTGAATACCTTAATTGTTCTGTTTTTATATTATAGCTTTCACCATGATTAGTATTACTTTCATTACAATTATTATTATTATTGCAAGCATTTTAAGTTGAAAACAAAACAATTCAATAAATAAGCAATAACTAAAAAATATATTCAATAATCTAAATTTCATTCACATACTCCAAATGTTGGATATTCAATAAAATATATAAAAATGACGGTATTAAAATTCTTTGTTTTCTTTTTCATTTCTTTTTTAGTATCAAGTAAAAACTATGACTTACTTTAGTTCCCGTGAAACAAGGTTAAGAATATTCCTGGCGAGTGCCGATATCCGACTTGGTTCTGTGTTTTATAGTGTCAACGCCTTACCCTGTCACAAAACACCACGTCAGAGTCAACGAACATGACCAAACCCCACCTTAGATTCATGAACAATAGAATAAGTGAAATTTGATTAATTACATCATTTACCATATCTAATTATTATTTCTAATTATAATTATAATTATTTACATATCTTAATTTGTCTTGTTATGAAGATATATAAATTAATTTTCGCTATACCTGAGGTGCAAGGTCACTCATTAGAAATGACAGTAATGCGAATTCAGCAGTCAATAGAATACAAATTTGAAAATAGAGGAAATAATCTTACATAATTACTGCACATTTCCATTACCTTTGTTTTTTTTAATTATTATTAATAAAGATCGTTGAGTGTTCAAAATATAATGTCATAAATTATCATAAGTCAACTCTCTTCATTAAGAACGATCTTGAATGTATTAACAGTATGCCCCAGTACAGTACGGATGTGGTTTTGGAAATTCTCCAGCGAGATTGTTTCCCTTAGAGCATTACTAACAAAACTGTTTCGAAATAATCAGACCCTTTTGACTTATAAATAATATAAAGGTTTCAAATTGTCAGAAATGTATAAATGTGTTGTGTGAAATCAATTGAAGCTACTTATATATTTACCCTGATTTTATATTTTAAGTACTCAGATTTCAATCAACGCTATATTTTGATTACTAAAATAATGTCATGCGTCTGATATTTTTTTTTTATAAATGATTAACTTGCTAATTTATAGTTTAAATCATTTCTAAAATGTTTTCCTTTTATGTCTTTCCACCTTTCCATGGACAAACCTTTTGATCTTTTATGTCTTTCCACCTTTCCATGGACAAACCTTTTGATGTTGTTCTGGTTATGTTTCTTTCTACCGCCAATTTTGTTTCTAAAATGTCGCGTTCGTTTCACAACATTTCGATGAGATATTTGGTATATCATATAAAAAATTATAACGCTTTGAAACTAACCCTGTTCAATTGAACACTTTTCCATATAGGAGTTATCTTTTCAGTATCTTCTGTTTTTCTTGTGACTGTTCTCCTCAGACACTGTAAACGATACCGCTTAAATGTTTTCTTTAAAATGTTTGTTACTACCTCATGATGATCTGTTCGATTTGGATAGAATCGATACGTTACATGTAATAAGAGTTATTTTCCTTTTTGTATGTCGGTATAACCCATAAACCGTAAGTCATAGATATTTAGAGTCTTTAGATATGAGGTCCTTGGGCCATTAGCAGGAAATTGAGTTCAATGTCAAAGGTCATGATCATGTTTTGAATTTTTAACTTCGTTTGATATCGCAAATCCTCAGAACCCGTAATAGCAGCGCCAATACATTTATGTCGAAGTGCTATGGTGACTTTTTCTAGAGGACACCGGAAATGGCATTTTGTAAACCGGAAGTAGCCATTTATCTCTCGTATTTCAAAGTAAAATACATAGTAACAATGTATATTCAAATAAGTGTAATTTTAGCGATCATATGCCACCCGAAGTGGTATTTTGTAGACCAGAAGTAGTCAATAAGCTCTCTTATTTCAAAGGAAAATATATAGAAACCGTATTTTTTTTTGGAATCAGTGAAAAGTAAACCATCAGTTGACAGCTTATTTCAAAGAATAGAACAACACACTTAATATTTTTTAGCATCTGTGCAAAATAAGTTATCTTCTGACATGTTTTTTTAAACGAAAGTTTTTGTTTGTGCATATTTGTTTAAATCTCATCTAAACCCTAATTTTCAACACGTGAGATGGAAAGACCTTCAATTGTTCAGAATTGTTCTGGTTTGAACCGATCCATTTTATAAAGGTATCGCTTACACGGATCAATTTTCTCCTATTCTATCTGTCATTTAAGGATATTTGTTTGTGTATTGTGAGGATTTTCATTGAAAGAATGCTTTCTTGTATTATTCAATTTTGTCAGGAACATACAGATTTTTCTTATTTTGCTTAAATACGTAATCTTACAGCCAAATGAATTTAAAAAACAGCATAACAATCAAACATTGGATTCGTAAAAAAATGCCTACATGGATGTCTAACAATTAGGTTTCTAATAAAGAAATAAGAAGATGTAGTATGATTGCCAATGAGACAACTCTCCACAAGAGACCAAATGACACAGAAATTAACAACTAAAGTCTCAATACATTTTCGCTTTTTAATATTTACTCGTTATATAAGAATATAATTAAGGAAGTAATTTGCTTACCGAAGTGCCAACCGAACGACAATAAAAGAGCTTTTTTGTTGCATAAGATTTCATTTAAACGATATACGTACCTCGTGAGGTATATCATAATAATTTGGTATTGCAAAAGTCGTGCACATTTGCAAAACAAAATTGTCATGATAATGTGCTGGTGATGAAAAAAAAATCCTGTTTTTTTGCACATATGTCCTTGTTCTGTGGTATTCCTTTTTGAGTAAAAAGTGGTAAATATTCAAGTTCATTGAAGCAGAAAATTTGTGTAACTGACAGAAGAACCATATAGCATACATTTGGAGGCTGCTTTATTTCTGATGAACACAATTAATTCGTTTTTGTACAGTTTTAATTTTGCATATACTAGTAACTGGCAGGTACATTGTCACCAGGAAAACGTGCAAAATATCCTATACTTACGCCTTGTATTTAACTTAGGCGACAGTAGTTTACAAATGTTCAAACCTCATAAATCGATTAGGAAGAGACAAATCAAGGTAAAAAAACAAAAACTGAGGGAATTACGAAAGGAGCAAGACCAGGTATGTTTACAGGGTACATCTTCTGCATAGTATGAATCTACCGCCATGTGATTCACACTCATTCAAAATGTGACGGTATGGGAAAAGATCATTAGAATTACAGATTAGACGACTCTAAGAATGCGAAAACATGTCGCTAGTGAGTTGAGTCACCGACACATCAGTCAACTAATTCATGATGATGATAGTATCGATTTCAGACGGTCTTCCTCATAACTGTTGGAGCAGTTTCTGTGTAAGGAGCACATCTCTGATAATAAAGTCCGAATAGTGTGAATGTGCACAAGCGAAACGTATACTATCATGTTTGTAATAGATCCTAGTTAGAAATCGTCCATCTGTGTTAATATCGAGGAAAATATCAAGATAGGAAACAGTATTATCTTAATCTAAAGTTCACTAGCAAATATCATTAAAATGTGGGTTATTTAGTGACAGAACATCATCAATATATCTAAAACGGAATTTAAAGAACTTTGCAAGATGATTTTTCTTTTTGTATTTGAGGGTTTTTTTGTACGAAAGCTACTTCATAAAAATACAAAAACAAGTCAAATTCTTAAAATTGTGATTGAAGATTTTGGAGTAGATGTTTAGAATTTTTAAGAATCCATTTCTGATCGACACCGCTTGTTGAATATGTACCACGCACGCTTTTTCTGAAGGCCATCTTTTACTGTAGTAAGAACTAAAGAAAGATGATTAGTGGAATATCTGGACGACCCGATTATATATATCGTTCTTTAAAAGGACTTCCAAGCAATGGATTTTGCATATAAAATCAATATTGTTCAAGGCTTTGTCTGCTGAAGCAACAACATATTTGTCGTGAAGACAGGATAAAGTATCCACATCTTAGGGCTTCTTGAAAAGGTCAGAATGCTAAAGCTCATTGTATATCTTTGATTTTGAACGCGCTTCTGAATGCATGACCGAACAGCTTTAAACCATTTAGATAATGTGTCCAGTTTTGGTTTATATAGCTCACGCTTTACAAATATTCTAGCATTGGTCTCAACTACATCCATCAGTAAGCTGAAGTTCTTCCTCCAGTTGATAGGAATTCGATATTTTGGGCCGTGACCAAACAATTATCTAAGTTTTTCATGGATAAAGGTCTCTAATTATAACATGACCAGCGGATTTATATTTTGTATAGGGATGATTTACAAGATTAAACAGGAGGTTTGGATTTTACATTCATGAGGATTAAGGTATTGTTTATCATCTTGTGGTTAGATATCTTGGAAGTAATATGTTTGGTGTATATACATGTATATGAAATGAAAGGTGTAATTTTTGAAGTAACCAGATATTGGTTAATGCACAGATTTTTTGGGGAAAACATTGCTAATATTGGTGACATCCAAACCCTTATTAGCGAACTCTACATTAGAAAAACTACTTTGGGAGTAGTTGTACCTGGTTAAATAAGTCTACAGTTAGCAATGTCCATAATTATTGCAAGAAATATCTACTTAGGAAAATTTATATAAAAAATGGAAGTGTTTTTGGCCTCTTGAAATAATGAATTGAGCTTTAATCAGGGTATGGAAGAGAGTTTATCTCCAATATAGTGAATATTCAAAGGTTTATAACGAGCCATAAAATAGCATCTTGCTTCAAAAAAACATCATTCTTTAAACCAATTTGTTAATGGCCAGACGCGATATAGCCTGTTTGCGCTGATGCGGCGTAAAGCAAACACCAATCAATCTATGGTCTGAAGTTCTAAATGTAAAAGGCTATTTTATCTTTTAAAATGGTAAGCTTACAAAGAAAATGATGACTAAACATATGGATGTGGTGCCATCTTTTAGAGGATTCAGTACGGTATAAACAAAAGTATTACCCTATACAAACAGGAGGCAATACATTAGATGCGGTATTAGTATCCTTGATCTCGTTTCTCTGACAAAAAGGAAAATTTTGTGATGTACTGTAGATCTTTTTCTGCTACTAAACTGCATTCTTAGTAACAATGTATTGACTCAATACTAGACAATCTTGTCGAGTATAAATTAGGCAGAAGAGTTCAGAGAAGAAGGTGGGGAGCTAAAACGGGGATCGAAGTAAAAAAATATATTTTGAACATTCATTCCAAAAAGATTTTGTTGAGGTGCTTACCACTTACTACAAAAGGAAAATTATATGAAATTTTAGTGACAGAAATTTACGTCTTGGTCATGAAATATTATACCTTTCTTC